GGGGGGGGGGGGGGGGGTTGCAGGGGGGGGGGGGGGTTGTAATTTTTGTTTTTCGGGAAGGATATGTAAGTTGGCGGGGTCGATGCCTGGTACGTTGCGCAAGCAACCGTGTCTTCCACGGCCACGTGTCACATGACCATCGCCATCACGGCCGCTGACAGTCTAGGCACCCCCTCTCCTTGTCAGAAGAAGCAGACCCAACCAGAAATTACTTTCGAGCAGTGAAGTGTGCATGTAGGATATCCTGTCAGTGCTGTACTAATTTGTCAAGTCTTTTTGTGTAACGCTACTCGGGGTTCATATTTGCTTCATACCTCTTGTTACCGACGCAGTTATTTATCGTGTGGTGTACATGTGTTTTCGCAATCCTAGGGACCAGGACTTCATGCACTGTTGTATTATGTTGTCTTCACATTACATGAAATAGAAGTTCCGGTCTCCGCTCAGTGCCTTCTACGATCCGTGCTGGTCCAATACTTCGGATATAAATATAACCAATACGAAGATTTACCGATGTAGTGAGCGGCTGAGTTTCTGGAGAGTTGGCAGGGAGAGGTCTGTAGGTCCCTTGGCGTGTGCCGCTTCTCGTTGGCTCTGATGTCGCAGATAACCTTGATACATTCTAGTACGACTACTGTAGGCGAGTTCTTGTCAATTTGGGTTTGAATGGTTTGTTCCGCTTTTAACCGCTCGGTGTCGTGTTTCTGGCCGGTAGGGTGCACTGCGAGCACTTGGCAATTTGGGTTCTGAATGATTTGTTGTCCTTTTACTGGGTTGGGTTCTTCAGCTTGTAGGGTGCATGCATTTGTTTCAATGCGATAAAAAAACCTACGCATAAATAGCCCGTGTTGGCGCGAGTTTTCGATCATTTTTCATTTTCCGTAAGGATGGTTGGTTGTACAACGTAGGATTCACTAAACCGGTTGTAAAGGTGTGGTGCTGAGGTTGTACAACGTAGCATTCACGAAAGCTGTTGATAGGTTGCGGTGGATAGGATGGTTGTACAACGCAGGATTCATTAATATTTGGGTTGATAAGTTGTGGTGTTGAGGGTTGGTTGTACAACGTAGGATTGATTCACTGTATCGGTTGTTGATGAGTCGTAGTGAACGCACGCTGTGAAGGGGACGCAAAAGAAAAGAACCGAGCAGTGCGGGGAGGGGGGTGCTCGGGTTAAGGAGGAAGCAGCTGACGTGCGTCTAGATATTTTGGCCGGTGTCAGGTGTGCCCCGAATCCAACGGCAGTTTTGAAACACCTGGTGGTAAGAGGCTGCCCAGAGGTATGCTAAGTTCTTTGTACTTGGTAGAGGTCACTGTTTTTTTGTTCTTCTTTTGTCACGTCACGGCAGAGTAGAGACACGTGGCGGTGAGTCATCCCGCCGAATCTGGTGAGTGGCGGTGGCCCTTGACTGCTAGTTTCATCCTGTCGCGAAGATATTCTGTAGTGTAGACAACTTATAGGTTTAGACAACTACAACCAAAGGTACAGAGAGAAAGCAAGTTCAGTATTTTTTATTGTAAACACATGCCGCCGTGAGAAGCATTCGGCAGAGAGAGGTGGTGTAGCGCATGCAGAGTCTGGGGATGGATGGGGAGACTTTTCTTGATTGTACAGGAGACGCGCTGGCTTTCGATCGTATATTTGACCCATGTGATGTCGGTACTCCACCGATCCCTTCATATTTAGTTTGTAGACGTGCTTGAGGTTCTCCCCATAAGTTGATGTACGTACCCGCCCAGTTGTTGCTTTTACATGCCTCAAGTAGGAAGGTACTAGTGAGAAGTGAGAATTTGGGGAGGATTGCATGACCCTGAGTGTGGGCTGGAGGTCGCAGCCGAATGACGTGCGTTCATTCTGTCGAGGACATCTGAAGTAGATGTTGGTAGGTTAGTGGCAAAACGTGTCATCCGCGGTGGAGATCGGCACTTCGGTACTCGCAGCTTCTTCGAGCAGTGAATGGATGGATGGCAAGCTTCTACGATTTTTTTGTGTGTCGGCTCTGCGAACAACTAATGGCAGTGTCGTAACCGTTTACATAGACATTATTCTTACCATGGATGGCATGTATGCGATCAATTGTGGTGGATGAGCGTCGCGTGTTTTTTCAGCACAGGGGTTTTAACGTGTGACCGCAATGTACATCAGGCAAGCAGGGTCGTGAGTCGAGATCCCCCTGGGGGCGAATTGGTCGGATTTGAACCTGTTCCAAAACTGACGCGGGGGAGGTTCTGGCACGGAAGGTTGAGGCGTTGTGTAGTTCACGACCGTGTCCTTCGCACAGCAATGGCACTGGTTGTCTCCACTCGATGCGGCGCATTGTTGTGATACGATCGCGTTACGGCCGTATGTCGGGGACCATGCCGACGGTTCTAGATGGCCACGATTCTCACCACGTCCCGTGTTGATTTTCATAGAAAACAGAAGACTGTCCATCAGTCTACTCAACACGACCGCGCTGGCAATGTATCTCTTCAACATCCTTGCGCCTTTTTTTTGTTTTTCACTTGGGCAAAACAAAAGGTTCGCATACAACAGGTCGGGGGGTGGCAGGCGAGGTATGTCGGGCTTGAAACCTGGACTGCGTGGCAGAACCTGCATGCATGCTTGTTCGAATCGCAGAATGAAGAGAGCATCACGGGCAACACGAGAGTGAACATGCGTATTTTCGCTTGGGCATCTCGAAAAAGAGAGTCGAAATTCAGTTTCATTGCACCCGTAAGAAGAGCGAAACTTGAACTTTCGCAAACATTTAACAGGTGCGAGTGGATTGAAAATGCTTGATCAAGGTTTGGAAATGTTACGCGTGTCATTCGGCCCAGGCTGTGCGAGCGGCAGAGGGTGGGGTGGAACAGAATCTCCGTGAAACACAAAAATATCCCCCAAGAAAATATGATTTTGATACAGTGTGATTGTTGGCGCCCCCCTCTACAAAAAAACATCCCACTCCTAAGATCCATGGCTGTGAAAAACTGCCAGAATTGTTGCAATAGGGTGCAGATTGTATGCCGCTGCGAAGTTGAGGGCATCCTGATGGTACTCTATTTGCATCAACAAGGCATGAGGCTAAAACTGGGACACGGCATTTATCGTCGTCCTTCCTACCTTAAACTGCACGGCGTCTTTGCACTCGGTATTCCCCACCAATCTATTTGCACCGCCTTCGTTCCCAACCGAGCGGGGCGTGGCATGACCTCAAACCTACAGTAGGGCCGAGTTCACCGGAGGTGCGTTCATTCCAAACCTACAGTATACCACGCCACTTTGCGTACGGACGAGCCGTATTGTTCAACACTCCGGATCATGGCTTGGAAGCAAACTGATTTGTCACAACCGCTACGATATGATACATGTCAACGCTCAGGCAGAGATCCAAATGATGAGAGGAAACACAATGAATCACAAAGGTTTCTGACGCCTGGCCAGAAAAAAATCACTACTGCACTGGTTTGGGGAGGCAAATGGTGATGGTGCAGCGTAGCGTCATTATTTTGTTGCCCATGGTGTAACCCCTCTGCAAGGGCATGCCCTGTTTAGTTGGATGCCTCCAGGCGCTTTCTGTAGGAAGCTTGTTTACAGGGAGTGGTACAGATAATATGTAGACTTTTGCTTTGCGGCACCTCGCTCAGTTCTCATTCTTCATTCTTCTTCACTGTGAGTACCCGAGGCTGCAAGCTCCCGGCGGCACAGACAAACATTGTATCATCATCATCATGGTGTATTCATTTTTGACGTCGCTCACCCACGTCATGATGGTCATGTGCGGCTGCACAAAATATCAGTAGAATAGAAAGGTAGAAGTACAAGGAATGAACATCAACGGAGAGTTACCCGTCAGCTTTACATTATGAGAACTTCAAGGTCAAACGGGACAGCAAGCGTATTGTCGAATGAAATGAGTTTTAGGCCGCCGGCCGTACTGTAGACCGAACAGTTTATTATCCGTGCAATGGGTCAAGCCTCTACTCGCGTTCATTCCGCTTTGTTCATCGGGGATTCACACTTACTTGAAGCACGGCGGCGACGTGCCAACTCACCGACACAATTCTGCACATTCGTGTACGTACAGTTTTTTACAAGAATACCTTTCTCTCTACAGTACATATGTCTAAAAAAGTAATTTCTTGGTGCCTTCTACCGTAGTACTACTGCCAAGGCATGCGACCCCACTCACACACTACTTGGGTAGGTCTGGCAAATATGGTTGTTTGTGATGCACTGTGGCTATTCGCGACTGGAGCAAAATTTTCCTGGCCAGCTCGCCAAAATCTCCAAGGGGAGATGGTGCGAAACAAATGCACGCACGCACCGCGAACACCCGCTGCAAAAGCTCTCTACCGATGAAGGGGGACAATTTTACTCGACGTGCTTGCGCACGCTCATGTGGCTCATTGAAAAACGTAGACGTTTATTGTGTCTCCCAAGGCATAAGCGGGGTAGGGGGGGGGATATGAAGCTTGCGGGGTTCCAGAGGGGCAGCGCAAGGACAAGGGTGGTATGTGATATTGGATGGTAGATTATATGTACTCTAAGACTAATTGTGGCATGTGAGAAAAACATAGGTTGGAGCATCCTCATCACGGAGGCCCAGGATACCGTGGACGGCGTCCCCTCCACTGGAGCCAGGTACCGCGACAAATATGGTTGCTGTGTCTCACGTAAAGTAGCAAAGCAGCAGCGTCAGTTTTTTTCTGAGGAGAAAACAAGGCGGGCTCTGAGTCTGGCCGGGGCCACCCCCGGCGTGTACTTGGTGGCTTTTGATTGAATACTCCCTCTCCGACAAGCCAAGCGGAAGCGCGTCGTATCTCCACCGTCGCCTTGTCCGCTCATCTCGAGTTTAGTCGAGGGAATCCTGCATTCGTCTTCGTATGCAGACTGCTGCATGAATGACTGTAGATGAGACAGTTTCTTCATTTGATTATTTTGACGAGTGTACAACAGGTAATATTCTAGGTCTGCACCGGACCTGCTGCTCGAGCTGCTGTGCTTCCACGGAACCCCCTCGAATCGAGAGCAAAGTCGAACACTGCAAGGAACCGTGCAGGAATATGGCCTCGCCGCCTGCCGCGCAGCCGTGTACTCCGGGCGGGTATAATACTGGTTTGCACGCGGCAGCATTGGACAACGATGATGAGCTCATGCATACCCTTCTTTCGAGTGGATCGGCCGACATTGATCGGCGGGGCAATCCACTTGGCTGGACTCCGCTCATGGTCGCTGCCGGTGAGGGTCACTCGCAAGTTGTTGGGATCTTGCTGAACAAGGGAGCGGACTTGTCGGTAGTAAACGATTTGGGTTCTACTGCCCTGTTCATCTCTGTTTCTCATAGGCACGTAGCTGTGACGAGGATGCTCGTGAATGCGGGCGCCAATCTCGAAGCGGCGGAACTAACGTTGGGGTGGACTCCGGTCATGATGGCTGCCTACCAGGGCCACTCGAAAGTTCTTGGGATCTTGTTAAACAAGGGAGCTGACTTGTCGGTAGTGGACAAGTCGGGTTCTACTGCTGTGATCATCGCTGCTCGTGTGGGACACGTAGCTGTGACGAGGATGCTCGTGACTGCAGGTGCTAATCTCGAAGCGGCGGAGCCACAGGGATGGACACCGCTCATGGTGGCTGTCTACAACGGCCACTCGCAAGTTGTTGGGATCTTGCTAAACAAGGGAGCTGACTTGTCGGTAGTGGACAAGTCGGGTTCTACTGCTCTGATCATCTCTGCTCATTTGGGACACGTAGCTGTGACGAGGATGCTCGTGAATGCCGGCGCCGATCTCGAAGCGGTGGAGCCACAGGGATGGACGCCGCTCATGGTGGCTGTCTACAACGGCCACTCGCAAGTTGTTGGGATCTTGCTGAACAAGGGAGCTGGCTTGTCGGCAGTGGACACGCGGGGTGCTACTGCTCTGATCATGTCTGCTGGTTATGGGCACGTAGCTGTGACGAGGATGCTCGTGAATGCCGGCGCCGATCTCGACGGGGCGGATTCTGCGGGATTCACGCCACTTCACATGGCTGCTGTCAACGACCATTCCGAGGTAATCAAAACTTTAGCTGGGCAAACCCAGACAGCCGTACGCCCGCCGGAGAGACACCACTGTTCGTGGCAGCGAGAAGCGGGCATGTAGGCGCCATCAGCGAACTCCTTCATGCGAATGCGAACCCCTTGCTCGGTCGAATGGATACATGCCTGCGGGGACGGATAATCCTGCCGCTGGATGCCGCGGTGATCTCAAAGCACGCAACGGTAGTACGAAAGCTGATACAGCAACTCGGGATCCAAGGCTGTGGCGGTGCAAGCGCCGGCGCAGATGCTTTAAGACGGGCGGTACGGACCCAGCAATATGATATCGTGGTCATGTTGGCGGACGCCGGAGTAATCGACACAGGCAGAGTCCTGATCGATGCTACGAAATTCGGCAGCGAGGCATCAGTGAAAATCCTCTTGCAGCAGCAACGGTGGAAACACATGGACTGGAATACATACGTCAACAAAAAACACCCAGACGGCAGAACACCAGTAGTGTGTAGCATTGGGCGTGCCCTCCTATCAGGCTCTCCCAGGGTTCTGCGGCTATTTCTGGACGCCGGTGCTGACACGGCATCGACCGTTAGAATTGCCAACAAGGAAGGAGTAGAAGTATTCAGCGGCACGCCTCTGGCTTACACGACCTGGCTTCTCCGTGATCAACAAGCCCAAGCAATCGACTCCACGAAGGGACAGCCGTGCGGCCTGAAGGCCGTCTGTCGCATGTTGTTGCAACTGGAGGCAATACGCGCGGTCTCTTGGTGCTGGCAAAGCGATGCCTCATCACCTATCGAACGAGCTGTAATGGATGGCACACCGAGAGCCAAGTCTAAGCTGACAACGGACCCGCCGCTGGGTTTGACACTACCAAGGACGAGGAGGAGGGCTCGGGCGCATCGGGTGCTCGTGATGGCCATTTCCAGGTAGATGGTTCCACCAGTTCTTTTCTGCAGTGTACATAGATTCTCGGCTTCATGTGATAAGCTTGAAAAGTTTGGTCCGATGTTGCTGGGAACGGCTCATGAGATGAAATGAGTTTGGTGCAGCCCGTTTTGGTTCTCAGGCAATTGCTGTTTGTCGCTGCTGCCGGTGACGTTCTTAGGTTCACTGTGATGTCCAATATGCAGCAGTGCAGCAGTAGGACTCGCCATACACATGAAGAGTAGTTCATGTTTAACTGGTTGGCAAAGTAGACAACAGCAAGAGCGCACAGGCAATTACTCATGCGATTAGGCCAAAGGCTTTTCATGGAGAATTTGGGGCTGACTTGTAGCATAGTGGATCTGCTGTACACCCTACCAAAAGTACAACCGGGGTTCGAATCCCCCGTGGACCATATGTGACGCATGTTTTCCTGTCTGGGATACGCCTGAAAGACGGTATACATTTCAGTCGTCCAAGTGAAGGCACATACTCCCGCCTGTAAGTTGATGGACCGCATGGGGCAGCGCTGATTACAGGGATTACATCACCCTGGGGTCAATTCCGAGGTCTAACAGCCGTAACAAGTTGAAGGACCCCGGGTGTACTTTTGTTGTGTAGCATAGTGGGTATGCTGTACACCGTAACAGAATCTGATGGCCGTCTGGGTATGGAGGTTCTTAGCCCTTATTCACCCCTTATTCTCGTATTGGTGTGTCCTGAGTATTCGCCTATTTACAGAGCTGTGTCTCTTCACCTCGATTTGTCATTTTTCGTTTCGAACTCAGCCTTGTCCTTCTCAACCTCAACATATTCTTCCTTCCCTCCAGGCCCATGGTGTGTGTCCTCAGCCTTGACCACGAGATACTGGTATAAGGTTTTCACTTTTCGTGCCTGAAAACACCATTACTCGTAAACGTATGGCAGCTACAAACACATATCTTTCAACCGCAAAACACCCCCCCCCCGTTCTCTTCCATCGGGAAGTCGCCGGACTATCAAGAGAAAACCTCGGCTGGCTGCTTCCAAGTGTTCTTACATATCCAGGAACGTGCATGACACGTGAGCGTTGTGTCCCATGTTTTCTTACATGCTCACGAATGGCTGCCATGATGCGGCCGTCTCTCCGACTATCTCCGCTTGTTCGCACAGGTATTCGAGAAAACCGATGAGCTCCAGGGAGTACAAAGAGAAACCACGTGGTGTACGAAGCACCAGTTCTCCAGTGCAAGAATTCCCAGCGGATAAAGCACCACCGGCAAACGCGTCAGATCGTGATGAGAGGATGTGGACTATGGTCCTGATAGTGCTCGTGTCGATGTTTCAGATGTCTATCTGGTTCAACACCTAAAGAAGAACCACCAGCAAACCCGTCGGGCCTTGATGAGAGAATGGGAACTGTTGCATTGATAGCGATGGTGTCAATGTTTTAGGTATCGACAAGGTTGCCAACATGACGAAGAAGCGTTGAAACAATGGGCAACAAGGCGGCGAACTGGGCGGAATTCGCGTGGACTTTTGGTCGTAAAGTGCACACTTTGTACACACAGGTAAAGCATTTCCCAGCTATCCGTTTGTATTCATAACGTAGGGCCGGGTGCTCGGAGAGTAGGAGATCTGCCACTTTTTGGGAATAGATCAGCTGTCACACCGTGCAGAACCTGCCGGTTGCAAAGCAGCACATATATTTCGAACCGTCACCTACACAATGGATTTGAGTTTAGCCAGCGAAAGGGGTTCCCCAAACAGACTTCTCCTGTTCTTCTCGTCGATTACAGTTGGCCTGAACAAGTCAGCACGACCCCAATGGCCGAGCCCTTGAAACCATCTGTGTACCGCCGACGCCATCCCTGACAATTGTCTTGCATCATCACGTGTGCAAATTGGTGCCGTTTCGAACCATGAGCATTTTGTATATTTATTCGGCGGCCGCAATCAATCGCTAAATAGATACATCCACCTTGACAACCCAGATAAAAAGTACACGAAATGTTGGGCGCGTTTACAGCTGCGCATCAGCAGTATATCGTGTGCGTAGAGACAACAGGTGCGCAAACACCTACCAAGTAGACTCTTGCTTTATGTTTGTACTTTAGATATATTCCATAATACCCACATGCCATGTTCTTGAAGATTTGTTTTTGGGGGGGGAGGTACCAGTTGTCTACTGCAGTTCCTATTAACTGCAGTTCCAAATTACAGCATAGGATCTCCGCGGAGGGGGGACCTGTGTTCGTTGGGGTACGTTATGCGCGAGCTAGTATCCCCTCTATGAGCCCCAAAGCCATGATCACACGAAACCAGGGAGGCAGGTACAACTGTACAGGACCAACATGATGGAGCACCTACCCCGTCCAGTAAATGCAATGCATGAAACGCCGCCATTTTCTTGTACATGTAGTACACGGGCTGGACTAGTGGGGAGGGGTAATGAGCCGCGGGGTACGACTCAATACCTGACAGTAGTCTATCTGCGATGCTGTGCGAGGCTAGAGACACGCTGCATCCAGGCAGCAACGCAGCAACCCGAACGCGCAATTCATACTCGTGGAAAATATTATCCAACCAACACTTCACTCCAGCTGGAAGTTGGAAATATCGCACATCAACTGCGGAGGAGCATACGCAAATGTTCGCCATCTCCTACGGCAGTACCGCCGAACGATCGGCACCTAACAACACTGCCGCCGACATAAATGAACAGTGGTACTGACGCGAATGCACACTAGCTGCCGCAGCTGCTATTATAATGACTCCCATACCTATATCTTATTTCACCCATCGTGTACATATGATTGTCGAGATATTCCAAGAAAGGAAAAACAGCACATCGTTCAGACTCCTCGTGGTGCAGCCAGAGAACCGTCACCACGTTGGTGTGTTTATAGCCAGAGAAGGGGCGCCAGGTTTGCTATTACTGCTGTACTTTCACATATGGAAGGGGTCGGGCCACGGCGGGTGGGTGGATGTTTCTCCATGTATGTGCGAGACATACTGCTGTAGCTGAGTGTCACCTCCTACGTGTCTCCTACTACCTGGCTGTTTAGCTGGCTTCGTATATACGTGATTCGATCTCCGATAGATTCCGTCCCTCGGTAACTCCGGGGGTTGGGGTGAGGTCTCTTATGAATTTTGTGCACAAATACGCCTTGTAGCACGGTCATCTGTTGTCGGAGCTAGACCAAACCGGGATGTCGAAGAGTGCCCTATTTTTTCTCCCTCCAACAGATCATCAATCCGTCGGTACCCTATCGGTTGGGTCGAGAAGGGGGGTTATTTAGGCCCCCCGGAAATCAAGTTTGGGGCCCTGAATCGTGTTGGCACAGGGCGATACCTAGGCCTGTTTTTCCCTTCCTGGGACGGAGGGAAAAGAACGGTCGCGGCTGCTCATGATAACCCCCAAGAAAGATAAGCTCAACGTAAAAAACTTGTTCCGGCCCTCCGGGGTACCTGCAGTACAGTACCACGGGTGTGCAGGATTTCTTTTGTATCGCGACACACTCGCACCACCTGCTGCTGCTCTGCGTTTGCGCTGCGCAGGAGGAGCTTCACCCCACTACATTGCCCAGGCAGCGCAAAAAGAACGGGGGGAGAGAGACATCGGGGAAGGGGCAGTTGGGCACGCGATTCGGAGGTTGATGATCTCGAGGCTGGGCTTGAGGACAAAGGTTCACCAAGACGTTATTGATGGCAGACGCGGTTGGAAAATCACACCCCAGCTAGACTGTGCCCATCATTCCTTGTGCGTGCGCGTGCTGTGCACTGCTCGCACTCGTGGTAGTTTATCGTTTAGCGCCGCGAATCTGCGAATCCTGTCGGTCAGAGGCCGCTGATTGGCCAACGAGGGGTTGAGAGAACCCGGTTCGTGCACATATGCATGTATTCCGAACTTCGCGCTATGGTGAATCTGCGGTGCCCCCTGCGTCGCTGCGCTGCTCTGCTTCCCTTCGCCTCTCTGCGCTGCTGCTGCGACCATGGGGAACCTCATGTCCAGGAAGAAGAAGAGGGAGAGAGACCATGTTACCGACCAGGACAGAGCAGTCCTTGATCTCAAGAACTCTCGCGATCGGCTGACGCGTTACCAGAAGAAGGTCAGAGGGTACAGTCGAGACTGCACACGATGCAGAGTACTGCTGTAGATGAAATACGCAGAACGCACTGCACTTTGCTGGCCGACTTGCTTGTATCCACCGCAGTAGATGAAAGGTCACAGATAAGAGCACCCTTCTGCCTGATGCAACAAGTCTATTTCGTCGGGAACTGTGCATCTCAGTTCACACAAATCTCGGTTCACCCGCGGTCACACCCCCGCGGTACAGCAGCAAAACCCGTAGAAAATGCCAGGAAAAGTGCAGTCTGTGAGCGATAACGACGGCTTGATGTTATTTTGCGAAGTCCGTCAGAAGATCGATCAGTGGGAAGCGCACATGGGGGCGTTAGCGCTGTGCATACTACGTCCAATGAAACCAATGGCATCAGTTGCTAGGAGACTGGTTCCAAACAAAACCCTCCTGAGTAGTGCACCTCGGGGCAAGTTTGACCTCTGCAGATGCATTTTGTACACGGTCTGTTCACGAGTGCTGAGTACACCCGGCACACTGGAAGCGATAGATGCTTGCAGTCGCGAGCATGTATCGCTTACAGTAGGGTTGTTGTATCTTCGTGTAGGCGTTTTGCGGTGGAATAGCGGAAGAATGTGCTGTTGTTGTCGTCGCACGAGGGCGTGTATGAAGCCTCTCGACAAACACGGAACAGGGAACTCGGAATTCCCTCGTGTTCCCTTCGTCATGTCGTTGAGTCCAAACCGCACCACATGCAGCAGTACTCAGGCATGGAATACGAAAAGTCTTGAGCGTGCGCGTGCGGCACGCAGGTGCTCGGAGGCAACAGGCACAACAAAAGCAGCAGAAAGAGGAACGGTGTAGGTTTCGAAGCTGTTGACCAGCGAACATCATCTGCATGTGCTAAGTATCAGTTCCAACAGCAGGCGTTGCTCGTCGTGCAATCCGCTCCCTCGAGAGTGCCCTGGAAGGGTTGATTCTTGCGGCTGCAGTCAACGGCAACTTGTCGTCTTCTTTGGCACTCCTTCTTCCCCAATACAACAGCACGAGATCGTCCGCTGCCGTTTTTGTGAGACACCTGGTGATTGTGGTAATGCGTATATATGTCGCGCGAACCGGGCAGGAAAGCACCTGTGGCAAGGACGTATGCCCGAATCGATCACGCATATCCCACGTTGTTGCCACCGACGAGTCCGTGTTCCACGTTCCACATGGTCCATTGGGCTATTCAGTTCATGTGCGGTGTATGCACCAAAAAGGAGGAACCTACATAGGGGGGCGCAATTTTGTCCAGGAACGATCCCGGGAACGTCACTTTCTGTTCTCGGCCTATCAGAGAATAATTCCGAGTCCCCTGTGTCCCCCGTTCCCTTTCTTTCAGGGGAGGAAGTGCACGCCCTTGGCAACCATTCCGATCGCTGCTCAACGAGACAAACCGATGGGTGGCACCCTGATCCTGAAAAGTCAAAATTCCTACGAACTCTAGAAAATTATTTATTTTGACGATTGCCGTTTCAACCCCCCCCCTCGGCTTTCGCTCCCCTTCTCCATCTGCTTTTGCTGGCAGTTGGACCTCGAATGCGCTAAGCTGCAGGCACAGGCTGCGGCGATGGTGAAAGAGAAGCGAAAAGACCGCGCGCTTCTTCTTCTCAAGATCAAGAAGTGAGCCCGCATTGTGATTGTTGTTAGGGCCTGTCTTGTCTTCGTCCGTCCGTCCGTCCATCATCTTGCTGTTGTGCGGTATACGAATTTTTCTCCGTCAGCTGCTTTGTGTGCCCTTCTCGCTTTCTCGCGGTGTGTCCTGCCGTACATTGCACACCACGCCGCGGATTGTTCCACCACATGGATGTGCTCAGTACATGGCTTTCTTGTAGTCAACAAACGTTTCGGCCATGTCGCATCTCTCTATCTCTCGACCTATCTCACACACAGCTACGTCCTAGCGATGTGTCTTCATTGCAAGTACTCTATTCCGGCCGTGGAGCCTCGTCACCCACGCTCCTCTCTCCTCGCCCCTTCTGCAGGGGAGGGGATCCACGGACGAGAAGACGCCATAGCTTTAGTTTTCCTGCAATAAGGCTGACGTCGTGTCAGCTGATTCTGATGCTTGCTGTTTGACGGAACGAATGCACAACACACACATTCACGCATCGGTGGTTTCTTGGGTTCTGAGGTGGACCGGCTCGTTCTTTGTTGTATGTAGATATCTCCCAAAAGGTTGGGGTTAGTCTTTTGGCGTCCTGTGCTTGGCTCGGTGTTTTTTTTTTTTTTGCCTCCTTTGGGGTCTTGATTATTGCCCGGTTAGCCTGGCACCTTCTCGTTGGCCAATCAGTTAGCGCGATCGATGCCAATTCATGAGCCAGGCGCACTCTTCTGCTTTTGCGAACGCGTCTCTTGCTGTTACTGTTTTGTGGGATCAATTTCTCTCGAATACTATGCAGCGTGTTTCCTGTGTTCGCCAGGGGACCCTTCGGTTGCGTCCCCTGGTCTCACCGTCGGGGCGTCCCCTTCCTTGTATCTCAATGCAGTGTAGTAGACGTCCTGCCTGTGCTTTGAGTTCCTCTACCACAGATCGCCCACACCATGCCGTTCTTCCGCATGATGAACCTAGCTCAAGAACGTGTCGGGCATGTTCCTGCGACATTTCTTGTCGTGGACAACTTTTCTTCTTGTTTGTTTTTGGCAAGCGTTTTTTCTTACACGAACCATTGGTTTTTCTTTGTTGTCAGGCTTAAGCAAGATCAAGCGGACAAGGCTAGCTCGCAGCTCCTCAGCGTTCACCAGATGGTGAGTTTCCTGTTTACGCCTGCATTGGTGGGAGTTATGACGTGAAGTTTGGCACGGTGTGTCTTGACGAATGTGGTGGAGCGGTTTTGATCATGCAGAAGTGTTGCGGAGGGTGGTAAATATCTACCATACATGTTGTGTTATTTTCTTTTTTCCGGTGTTGTTGTCTCTCTCGGCTGCTGCTGCTGCTCGACGTGATGTTTCTGCTGTTATGCCCACGATCTGTAACCATGCCAAAGGGTACCGGGTAGTCTGCTCAAGACGTCCAGGAACATATCTCTAGTATTTCGTCATGTAGCGGGCGAAAGCTCACTCACCCCGCCCCTACGCCACCCCTCCCCAATACTAGATGGACACCATCGATTGGGAGACCCAGCAGCTTCAGGTGTTCAACGCCCTCAAGGAGGGGAACGTCGCGCTGAACAAGCTCCACGAGGAGATGCCCCTGGACAAGGTGGAGGAGCTCATGGCGGACACTGCGGAGTCCATCGCGATGGAAGAGGTCAGCTTTGTTCGTGTTTTTCAGTGCCGTTTTTTGTACTACAAAAGGTACAGAATCCGAAATCAAATCATTAGACTATGTAGCGCAGTAGTTCTCGAAGCCGAAGTCAAATCATTAGACTGCATCGTCAGCGCTGACGAGTCTCACGGTTCGATTTCGGCTTCTACAAAAGTTAGTCACGGGTTTCGTGAGCCCCGGCACTTTCACTTCCGAGGAGGGTGACTCCCTCAGCGCTGACTAGTCCAATGGTTTGATTTCGGCTTCTGTATAGTATACTGTAGCACGGCACTCTCTTCCGTTTTTCACGTTCAAGTGTCTGTTGAAAACAGCCCGTGATCGACGGGAAACGATGGAGTGCTCTTGCTTGTGTTGTTGCTGTGCTTTTTTTTTTTTTTTCGTGTTAATGGGTGTTACGGCTATTAGCAACAGGTGAACATGCCTGAGTTACTGCAACGCAAAGAATTAATGTTGCGAGAGTTTTTCGGGGGCAGGTGTGGGTATAGTTCTTCCGATTCGAGTTCGAGCCGGGCATCGTCATACGTTCTTGTATACGGCACCTGGGCCATGTCAGCCGCGTGACCAGGGGATTCGCCTCCGGCTCTTGTAGGACGGGTTCCAAGCGTGGACGGACTGGAACGACGCGCGTGTGTTTTTGCGTTGTTGTTTCTATTAAGACGAAATTGTGTTTGTTGTTGTTTATTCATACTAAGATGGAAGCCAGCGTGTTCCCCCCCACAAGGGCGATGGTATTTGTTTTCGCATGCAGTCGAGGTCTTCTACATATCGTCGCCCTACCGTTTTGATCCCCACATTTTTTCTAAAGAGTCACGCCTGTCGTTTCTGCGCCCCCTTTTCGACAACGCCGCCAACACAATTGCTGGAATGTTGTTCCTGCTTCACCACTTTTGCTGTTTTTTCAATTGCTGTCCCGACCGCAGGAAATTTCCAAGGCCATCGGCGGCTCTTGGACGGACGCCAACGAGGAGGACCTCCTTGCCGAGCTGGCCGAGCTAGAGTCCGAAGCGGCACCAGAACCAGTTCCAGCAACGGTACCGGAACCAGTTCCAGCAACGGCACCAGAACCAGTTCCAGCAACGGCATCAGAACCAGTTCCAGCAGCGGTCCCCGCCGCCGCCGAGGCCTCGAAACCGTCGGAGGAAACTGCTGCACAGGGAGCATCCTCCCTGGAGGAGCTGTTGCCGGAGGCCCCAACGGAGGCGCCGGTGGTCGTCCCTGCCGTTACAGATGCGGCGGAACCTCAGCAGGAGGAGGAGCGACCCACGCTCGTGCCGGCTTGATCGATATCATCTACGTACAAGCTTGTTTTTTTTTTGTTGTTTTTTTGTTCAAGAACGCATAACTAATTACTCTCGACATCCTACATCCACAGAAATTTGTGCGGGATAAGGCAGTGATGCGACGAAATTCATAGTGCTACGTGACCTACCTGTGTTTCTACTATTCCCGGAGCAGCACGCAGCAAAACCTCCCCTGTGGGTGCCTGTGGGTGACGGGCTGTTGCGTGATTTTTTTTTCATTCTGTGATTGTCAGGAGTCTGAAAGTGTTGCCAGTGTGGCGACTATATTTTTATGTGTGGCGGCGGGTAGCAACCGATGCTCACATCACCGGCTTGAGATAGGTCCTAAGTCTCATGATGCTGTACGGTCCGGACGGTGTGTGTTTCGTTGTAGCTATGTTTCTCTGCTGTTTGCACTCAGACTTGGTTTATTGTCGTATTTTTTTTCCGAGCCAACTCATGCGCCATCGCAAGCACGCACTACGTTTTTTTTTCTAGCTTTGTTTCGGGCTTTGCACTCCGACTTCGTTTTTGGTCCCTCTCCGTTTCCGAGCCAACTCATGTGCCATCGCAATCACATGGAATCTGAAATTTTTCTCCTTCGAAACGCAATACCGGCTGTGTACATTCCACACACTTTTCACGCGGAGGTGCGTGTTTTCGTCGGTGGCCCGGTACTCGAATAACCGTGCAGACAGAGCGCACTATGGGGGGAGCGGGGGTTGTTTGTTGCCAACATGTTGGTTGGAGTGGGATGGGTCTAAAATTCGACTGAAATGCCCATTGGACACGCTTCCCTCCTTTGTGGAAGGGACATCGTTTTTCTGGCGAGGGGAGGGACATGCCTCGTCCAAAATGTATCTCCACCATTTGTCGGTGTGTGCCTATAATAGTTGCTTCCCGCCAGGTAATTACGCTTATGCCTGTGAGGAGATTGTTGTCCGTCTGCCTTTTTCTTTGCCCTTGCCGCGACGAAGCAACCAACGCCTAATTCATGCTGTGCGAGATTATGTTTAGGGGGGAATTGGGAACAACTGCGTTGAGGAAGAAAGGCCTTTATGCGTTTCTGGTGTCGAAGGAGATAGGGAAGGGGCTCGGGATTCGGCGTGTTAGCCCCCCCAACAATGTGTGCGACAATATTAGTCATGTTCAAAGCGTTCCCTGATTGTTGTAGTCAGCTACTGTTGCGTGATTGATTTTCAGGGTCCAATACCCTTCATGTTATGTTTCGTCGAAGCGCTCCTTGAGCTGATTTGATTTCCGACGCACTGCAGTCAGCACCGAAAAAAAGTATGTCGACTCTTTTCGACAACAAAGGGGTGGACACACCCAGTCCATGCCCGGTACCAAGAGCGGCTGATTCCCCATCTCCCGGCTCTGCATCAAGGGCTTTTTCCGGCGTCCACAAATAAATGGTCTTGTCTAAACCTCTTCAAGTCTGTTTAGGCCGCATCTCGCCCCCCATTGCAAAAGGTACGATAACGCCACCCCCTCACAAAGCCTGCGAATACTTTTTGAGCCACCTTTGGCATAGTAGGAAGGAACGATTGGCCATCGGTGATCGGTCTTGTGGGAACAATGCTCCGCCTCTCGAGGACGCGTGGTCAAAGGTCTAACCGCTAAGGCATGCAATACATGAGAGTAGCTCCCCCCTCACAAAGCCTTTGTACTCGTGTCTCCCTGGGTTAAACAATGAGTGGCCCAGTCGGGGCGGGGGGGGCGTACAGAGGATTTTCCCGTCTGCGTGCTCCATTCAAGTCGCTCCGCTGCCTTTGAAGCTAGAGCCGGCCAACAGCCCCTGCAACAACGCATGCCACACGAGCATTTGCGTCAGCCAATCATCAAACCTTACTTCGCGGTAGCGCCGGCTGTGGACATAAACTGCAACTATGTACAGAGGTTTCAAACACGAAAATCGAAACAACAGAGACGCCAATCCGGAGTGAGGTTAACGGAGTTCGCATCCTAAACAGCGGGGGCTACCGACAGGGAAAAAATATACCAATCCCTATTCTACAAACTCTGCTCGACCCGTTGCCTCTTGACCTTGGAAAAACCCACCCCTCCATCCTCAGCACCATCCCCTCCTTCTCTTGCAGAGACGTCATTACCAGCAGCAGCGGCAGCAGCATCAGCAGCAGCAGCGTCCGAAACGGAGGAAACAGCCTCAGCCGGGGTAGCAGCACCGCTGCTGCTAGTCGTCGCAGTTCCGACACTACAACCACCACCACTATCACCCCCGTCGCTCGACGTCGTACCCGCTGCCGCCTTCTCCGCGGCAGCAGGGGCTGCATCGCCAACGTCCCCCCCCCGCGAAGACGCCTCAGCATCCCCCCCACCCTTTACCGCCTCCTCTTCCGTGCCCGTGCCCTCCGCCTTGCCGTCGGCGCCGGCGTCGGGGGCTAGGAAAGAGAGGCAAAGCATTGGTTTGTTGGGAGCGACGTCCCGCACAACGTGGATCTTAACCTCCCGCTGGGTGAGGCTGGATCCCATGGCTTCGTTCGCTCGATCGAGGGCGTCCTGAGATGAGAGAGGGAGAGAGAGAGAGAGACAGAGAAAAGAGACAGACAGACAGACAGACAGACAGACAGACAGACAGACAGACAGACAGACAGACAGACAGACAGACAGACAGACAGACAGACAGACAGACAGACAGACAGACAGACAGACAGACAGACAGACAGACAGACAGACAGACAGACAGACCGACCGACAGACCGACAAACGAGAGACGGAAAGAAGAGGGAGACAGAGACAAAAAAAAAGCAGAGAGGAACGGATAACAGGGACGGAAAATGACGCAACCCACGGACGGAAAGATACATACGGGAGGCCATGAGGCTTGGATGAGGTTGAGTAAAACGCCAGAAAACGATCGGGGCAATGAAAGCGAACGGGCCGACCAGAGCTTCACAAGTGACCAAAAGAGAAAAAAAAAAGCCGCTCGATGTTCAACTACACGCCACAAGCTCGCGGGCACCACGGCCAAGCGCAGCCACGCAACAACATCGATGTCGCTACAGCAGCTGATTCACAACTAGGCCAACAGCAGAAAAAATCAATGCTATGTGCTGTCGGAAAGAGCCGTCCGCCCATTCATTCGGACCCAAGCGGAACGAGAGGTTCCCCGCCAAACCAGCACGACAACAAGAGAAAAACTTTCTCGCCTGCTTTGGGTCGGCGGCCTTGCTGAAGCAGTAGACGTGCACCATGGGAGGAGAGTCAAAGCCGTGTTCTCTCCAGTGCACCCCTCGAAACGTGTCCAAAAACGTTAGGGCGGAATCTGGGAGGTTCAAAATGGCGTGGTGAAACACCTGCGTAAACAAAAAAACGGACAGGCATTGAGGAGGGATGCTGTGGATAACGAGCGGGGCAAAATGGTACGAATGTTTTGGGGGCGGTCCTGGCTAATCTAATCTCCTAGCCTAAATAGGTGGTATTTCTGTTGGTGTCGTTTGGCGAGACCAGGGATGTCAAGGCTTGCTCATTAAAGTTTCAATAGGGAAGGTCCACTAATTGTTAGACAAACACGCGTCTTCAGCTGAGTGTGTGGAATGAAAACTACGCAAGGGAGGAAAGTCAGGAGTTTCAATGACGGCGCGGTGAACCCAAACCCACCACTTGTTGGTTCGTTGGAAAAAATCTTTGCGTGCCAGCAGTGTGCAGTAACGCGACACTAGACAACGAGCACACAGTGGCAACAAGGTTGCGCATTACTCCAGTGGACATCGAAAAATAAAATAGCCAAGAAAGTGTGATTGCTTTCGCTGAAAACAAGACACGTACAGCTGTGCGGCAACGGGTGACTAGACGACGAGGTACAAAAAAAGGTGCCGTGACAAACAGTCCGTGAACAAATCAGAGGACAGCGAATAGTTGCGAGAAAAGGCACAACGTGTGATCCGTTGCAGTTGCCGCAAACAAGACACACTTCACAAGTCACCCAACCCCCGTGCGACAAAAATAGACACCACAGAGGTGTACCCCACTTGAACAAGACGCAAACAAACAAACAAAATAATACCTGGCGCTCCCGGATAAGCTTCCTCGCGAACGCGCGCCCGCAGTCGTTTCCGGTCGTCAGCAGGCCGGGCTTGATCTTGTTCCTGGCGCCGTTGTCCCTGAGAGCGCTGTAGCTGTCTGGGTTGAGGTCGTTCGCGAAGACTCGGTGGCCGTTCTTGGCCAAGGGTATGGCGAACGGGCCAACGCCCGCCATCATGTCGCACACCACCACGGACGACGGGTTCCGGTGTGCGGACCGTAGTTGCTTCTGCTTCCGCTTCAGCTTCTTGTGCTGCTGCTGCTGTTGCTGCTTCTTGTCCTGCTGCTGCTGCTGTCCGGAATCTTGTGGTTGTTCTTGCTCGGGTTGCTCATGTCGTTGCTGTTGCTGTTGCTGTTGCTGTTGCTGTTGCTGTTGCTGTTGCTGCTGCTGTTCCTGCTGTCCAATAACTTTGATGAGCCTCGCGTGCTCTGTCTGTAGCAGCACAGGGTTGTGGAGGGGGGGCGTGGGGGTGTTTGTATAATTTACCAAAATGGGCCAAACAACCGCCAACTCCGTTCGAGAAATAAGAAGGGGATGCGCAGTTGGGTGCGTGGGGTGCGTGGGGGGTAGCCTCGGGTCGCACCGTGTGTGCTCTGGACTGCCTGCTGCCCTATACGCATTGCTTGTCCTAGGGCGCTCGGTCGAAGGGACAGACTGCGGGATCGTCGGTGAGATAAGGCTCCAGCAGTACCGTAGTGGCCACAACAGTGGACAGTGGGAACCCGGCACTCTTTAGACCAAGACATTTTTTTTTTTTTCTGTGAGAAGGACGAGGCAAAGTATACCACTGCAACAACGACAACAACAGCACCAAAACCACCACCAACACCACCACCAACAACAACGGCACCTGCAAGCGGCTGTTCCAGTAAACCTTGGCGAAGTCGAACCTAAAGCTGCACCCGCTCTCCTTAACCACCACCTGAAGAAGCAAGCCGGTTTACGGAGGGCGGCGTTTTCTTCGTGTGTGAAAACCAGGGAGGAGGGCGCAACGATATCTACTTGCGCTACCTTGTTCCCAAGACTTGACGACGAAACAAAAGATTCATAAGAACACAGCGAAAACGCACGCGGTAACACTTGACGGCCGGCCAGTCGGTGGCAACGGCACCAAAAAGAAAGTTTGCCTGCGTGCGATTACATCGAAATTCTCGTCGTCTACAAAGCTCCCAGGACTCCTTACAAGGCCGGCGAAAAATCGCCCGTTTCTCTGCGCCGCAGTGCCACCGCCACGAGCATCCCAGTAGAGAGTTTGTGGAACTGCACGCAGGTGAAGGCAACGATTGCTTGCAAGGCTGGGCGTAAATCCCGAGAGGCCCCGCCTTGTGGTCAGCGGCACGCTTCCGGATGCCTCGTGTTTTCTTGAGCCCTGACAAAAGAAGGCTCATTCATTCTTGTTACTGCTTTCACCTACGCTATTGCTGTTGGCGCTCTCGCAAGACAATCTTTCTACCTACCCCTTGGGGTTCGTATTTTGTCTGCGCCCCCCCCCCCCCCCCAAATCACGGTGCTCTCTGTAGAAACCTAAATCGAAGGCGTTTGTTTTTCCGCTCCATGGTACCTCTGTGTTTGGCTCCCCAGCGACGATCTCCATGGGAAAGGTCCTGAATTTCGTCGAAATGGTGTCCGACCTTTCCATTCCCCCAGGGCGACCAAAACATACGCACAGGGTGAGGACGAAGGAAAGGAAGCGACAAGTCGGAAAAATCACAAAGTGCAGAGTAACTCCATTTGGCGCCTGCTTGGTGCTCTCATAGGACTAGCTAGACCCACGCCGCTGATCAGGTGCGCCAGCACACAAGGTTAATGTTGTGAAGCCGAAAAACACCAACCTTGTTGGTTGTCCAAACGGGTGAGTCAAAAGAGGAGCAATCGGCCAACCCTGGACCCGCAAAAAAAAACATGGGTCTGGATGTGGTACGCCGCAGGCTCATGAAGCAAGCAGGATGCTCGAATCGAGCCTAGCATCCCGCTGTGGTTGACTATACCGCTCCCTACAATGGCCCTAGAGCAAATCCCGTGAGATGTATCAAAGGACTAGGCAACGACCACAGAGGCGATACACACACAAAACAAAAGGTCGACGACGGTTTCAAAGGTGCTGGTTGACGAGAACGGATGCGGTGATGAACGAACCGGCGCGCGAGGCGATGTCCTTATTTCTCGAACCCATCAATGACGACGGAACAACCAAAGAGCCTGTCTCTCTCTCACCTTGTTGACCACCGTGGTAATCCGTGGGTTCTTGTCGATGATGACCTATTAGCATCATAGAAAAAATGGGGGGAGGGGAGGGGAGGGGAGAGGCAGACAGACAGACAGACAGATAGCGAGAGAGAGAGAGAGAGAGAGAGAGAGAGAGAGAGAGAGAGGGAGAGAAAGAGGAAAAACAAGAGTCACGCTTGCAGCGCACAATGTAGCAGTGATGCATCTTCGACGTGGAAAATGTCACAGCTGCAACCTCTGTGGGCATTCACCGAACCCCCCCCCCAAAAAAACATCGGGAAAAACAACAAGAGCATATCGTACGCGAGAAAAGCGAAGAAAAAAAACTTTCGTCACAAAGGGGTCCCATCGAAACCCTGGCGTGTTTTCAATACTCTCGGCAACACCCCCTGCAACAAGCGGTAAAGCAGTGGAAAACCCCCCAACAAATGCAGACTACATATGACACACAAGCACGTGTGCGGTCGGATAGCCAACGACTTCTCTCACGTGCGCGAAGAGGGTGGCACACACAAGACTACTGGCCAAAAACATCAACGCACGGAAACAAAATCACCTGGCCGATAACCTTCTTGTACGGCAGCAGGTAGTCCCTGAGGTTGAGGTGCGCCAGGTGTCCGGCCACCTCGAAAGACGTCGGGAGGTCCCGCCCGGGCAACCGCGGCTCCAGCAGCTGCGTCAACACCTGCGAGGTTACGGCCCAAAGTTCAGAACCGATTGAGAACCAAGCCAGAACCAATATTTTAGAACCGACTTGGAACCTTAGCCTCGCGCGCGACGCCGGGGGGTCCCGCCAGACAAGAATCAGCTGCGGCCAAAGCAAGACGACAGAGACCTAACCGACTCTCGGCTAGCAGTGCAGTCGCGTGGGAACACCCCGCAACTATGAGAATACGTGTGAGAGAAAAAAGAGATGAGCAGAGAGATACAGTATACAGTCGACAGACAGAGAGAGAGAAAAGAGACAAGAGACACAGAGAAAGAGATGAGTGACGGCACACCCAAACAACGACGTCCCTCTTTAGTGCGTACTACACACACATCACCAATGCTACTTCTTGGAACCCGTCTCGCCTCCTCTACTCCGAGCATGGAGTACTCGGTCTTGACGCGGAACGTCGTGGTCTCCAGATCGTCGTCCCCCCTGAGGAACTCCGCGGCTTCCGGGCTGAGACCTTATTTTTTTTGTCAAAAAAAAGTGGGGGGATTTTGTTCACCAGACCCGAGCGTAACCCGACAAGTATGCGGGGAGGCGTGACTCCGTGTTGCACACCACAGTTTCGAGAAACGCACCAAAAAACGAAGCTGATAAAAGCGTGGATCTTGGTCATTCGGACACTCTGCACATGCAACTCTTTTTCGACGGCAAGCGATGACATCCTGCCCCCGCCAAGAGATGCCACTCCCAACACTTCCGCCGCTCTCTCTCAACGCTTTCACCGAGCACAAAAAACACCACACTATCCGATGCCCTACAATGCAGCAGCATCAGTGTGCCCTCGGTGAGACTACGTGGACTGAAGGAAACATTCTCCCCCTGCTGATGATACATGTCAAACAGGATGTAAAGTCGTTCCGCCAGTAAGACGACCTCTAGAAAAGATTACCTCCGAGACCGTCAGGCGGCCGAAGCAGGATGAAGAGCTCCGATCCGCGCGGGGTCACACAACCAAAATAAGATGGGTGTTCTGTTTCTTATTATGTTTTCACCTTCGAGGGTTTCGGGGTCCTTCACCGCGGGGCCAAGCAGCAACAGACGGCAGGAATCATTCCCCGGGCACCGCTCCACGTTCCTTCGGTGTGGAACGTTCCTCAGCTCGTTCTTCAGCCGCGTCCGCAACTCGCTGGTGGTCACGTGATTTCGTTGCGAAGGTCGCCGTGGCCGCCCGCCGGTTCCCAAAACACATTTTACCGCATCGACGTATGTATATTCCGCCGCACCCGCGGTTCCAAGAAGGACGTGATTTTCGGATGTCGCCGAGTTTCGGAGATTCATGCCGAAGTTCGGAGATTCCCGCCGATAAACGGTCCCGTTCCATTGCGTCACATTTGTGGACGATTCCACCGTGCCGTTCCGATTTCGCGCCATTTCAAGGTTCGCCGCATCGTCGAGCCCCCACCACCACATTCCGAAACAGCAGCACGCAGCAGCAGCAGCCCGCGGCAGCAGAAACAGCAGAGCATGTTGCGGCGCGATTTGGACGAGCGTCCCGCGTATGAGCCGTAATGCCCCCGCCCCACGAACACACACGCCAGTATCGCCCCAAAACGAGATGCAAACGAGGAGAATAAGAGATAAGACAAGAACAAAGGAGGAACACAGCAAGGGTCAAGTACGCGAGGCAAGAGAGCGATGGCAATGTCGTCGTAGGACACAAGCGCGGATAGTGCGGCCCACACATGGCTCACGAGCCGCAATCAAGACGTATTTGTACTTCTGATCCTCAATTTTCGAATGTTTGCACCAACAGCAAGAAATTAGTGCTCAGAATCACTGCTCAGCGGTGTATCATGCACTAATCTCGACGTCGGTGGCGACGAAATAGGAATGGAGCCCTTGCTGGTTCGCACTTGACGTAAGAACCAGGAACCCCGGTGACACAAGATAGCACCCCCTCTGGACCGATTTTCAAAGCTCGACTACACTCCACGACCAAGAGGATGAATACATGAAATGGTACGTTTTCGGAAAGCTCTCGACGAGAAGGCTTCAACGCGCAGTTTTCGGTGCTGCCCCTCTTGTTGCTGTGGAGAAATCGACTGAAAACCCGTCCTGGGTGTGTGATATCTTGTGTCACGTACTGTACGACGTTGCTGTACCAGGTACTGCCGCAGGGTAGAGACGGCGGCTGCTGTAGCTACGCTTTCGCTCACCTCGTGCGCTTCGCGGGGAGCTTTACGGCCACAACGGTCGTCTCCTTCGAGAAAAAATCCCTGTCCAACACCAGCTCCTGCTGCTTCGTGCCCTCGGCCTCCCCTGCTGCGACGGCGGGGCTAGCCATCATGAACGGCGATGGAGATGGAGATCTTGGCGCTGCCGCAGCAAACAGCCCTCTTTTGGTGCCCTCTCGGCGTTGTCGTCGCCGGTGGACCTCTTCTCGAGTAACCGCTAGCAGGAGTGACAGAGAACGAATCCCCGTCGATGCAACCGGGCTAAGCTGCCGCAACCCCAGGCGTGTGCTGCTGCTGCTGCTGCTGCTACTGCTGCGGCTGCGGTTGTAAATGCTACACGGTCGGTGTTCGGGCACGAAGGACCAGGAAAGGGAAGGCGAAAACTGCGCCGACAGAAAGGCCACCAGTGCTGTATGGCTGCTGCTACTGTGCATCCGGTGTGAGGCACGCAACATGCATCTAGTTATACCTCTCTTCTTGCGTTGGTTCACCCACGCAGCCCAGCGCAGCGAGCTGGCAGCGTGGCAGCGCGAGCGGGGGGACTTACGGCTAGGATTTACTGGATATACAAATGTTCCTAGTTGCGGAGCCTCATGGAACCACTCTTAAACTGTACGTCTACAACCGCGACACGGCGACATGGGGGTTGCGCCGCATCCACCCACCCTGTGCCTGGTCTGGACACCACCCACAACAACCAAGGTGCAGCGTCCCTCTCTCCCATTCAATAGCTAGAAGAAACAGCCCCGGCAGCGCGTCTGTTTAGATTTTAGCAAGCCTTCTTGGTACAACAACAATCAATGCCCGGGTCGCACGTTTTTTGAAAATGTCGCGTGCACAAGAAGAGGGAGATCATGAGTCTGCGGAGGACGAAGCCGGAGGAACTCGAGAGCAGCAGCAGCAGCAGCAGCAGAGCGTTGGAAAACGAAAGCAGCAGCAGGAGCAGCGGGGAGACGGTGGGACGAAAGAAGAAGAGGAAGAAGAGGAGTTCCCGCCAGGCATGGACGTGGAGGAGGAATACGACGAGGAGGATGTGTACATCGTGGTTGACCTGCCGCCTGCGGTGGACGGTGAAGCCCTGCTGTCGGCATCGTCCGTTAGCGTCAAGGTGATGATGGTTCCCCTCTGCTTTAGCGGTGCAGTTTGAGTAGTGCCGTGTGGTGGTATGCGAAGACCGTGGAAAACGGCAGCTCGCGTGGCTGGTTCGGTTGTGTCGGCGTAAACTACGTATATATATCCGGTGCAAGCCTCTATTTAGGTCACCACTTTTATGCGGCAGAGATTGAATCATTGTGCCTTCAAGAAACGACCCACTCTACCTGAGAGCAAGTGCCCCCACCTCTAGTGGGGTTCGGGCTATGTAGGGTTCAGTGTCGATCGCCGCCGCCAAAATGTCCAATCCACAACGATGCCAACATGCAAAATCCGCCACATGTCGATCGGCGTATCTACCTCCAAAGAGAACAGCAATGGAAGTATGCACATGCAGCTGCAGGCAAGTACTAGTTGTACGAAGTATCAATTTCTGCCTACGCCGCAAGCAGGTATCACGCTCGCTTGAGCGTCCTGCGGCGATCGCCGAATTCGCCGTATTTCTTGGTTTGGTCGCCCGAAGCTACATCTTCAAGCTGGTGTTCAAGGGCGCAGGAGGGGATCGCAGGACCTCCTCTGAAAAATCCAGAAAACGCGTGCATATCTCAGTTTTCCAAATTCTAAATCCAGTACGAAACTACGATCGCATAATTAGCCGTTCGCCGCAGTCGCTTGTGTACAATTTTAGTGTGGGAAATTTAGCCCTTGTGATACACTGCAGACTAGCGGTCCGCGATTTTCCAAGCGATCCTTCTGTCATCGAGATCGGTGTGCAACAACCAGGATTTTTGAAGCTTTTTTCGGTCCGATTTTGAAACGCTTCAAGCACCATTGCTTATGGCGAAACCTACATATTCATGACCCCAGGTATTCAAATCGACTGTGGCGACGAGTAGGACACGTGAGGGAAGAGCTGTGCTGAAGTTGTCGGCCCCACACACTCACATAGGCGCTGATTCGCTGTTGCTGTGTGCTTGAAGCGTTTCAAAATCGGACCGCACAGCAGGTCCAAAAATCCTGCTTGTTGCACACCGATCTCGATGATTGAAGGATCGTTTGGAAAATCGCGCACCGCTAGTCTGCAGTGTGTCACAAGGGCTACAATCTCCGACATTAACATTGTACGCAAGCGACGGCGGCGGACGGTTAGACTTTGGAAAACTGACATATGGAGGCGTTTCCGGGATCTTTCAGAGGAGGTCCTGCGATCCCCCCCCGCACCCTTAAGTGGGGCTCCGCCGTACTTCACTGCGGCGCCTTTCGCTTCTTGTCGCCGAATCTGCGAGAAGGGGTGGTCGTTTACAACTACTGCTGTACGGTGCCCCCTCCTCCCTCTTTTGAAAGGGGTCTCCCTGGCGGCAATCCAGGACGCACAGCCCCAAACTGGATTGAGGCCATATCTGGAGGGGGGGGGGGGTGTACTCATAGTTCGTGCATGCCGTAGTCGTTAGACCATTGACCTCGCATCCCTACAAAGCCGGGACGGAGCACGCCGGGTTTTCACCGGACCAGGCTCTCACATCACCAAGCGCGAAGCGCCGTGAGGTATTCGGGGAGTCGCATGAAGGGTGAGCTGCATCCTGCTAAGGGTGTTCGGCATCTTGTGCTTACTTCCTTGCGTACGGATGACAGCTGCGTATGACTTAATTTATTTTCTGGTGCTTTCACTTCCAGAGACAGTTGTAAGCACTGTGTAACTGCCTCGAAGATGTTTGACCATTTTAACACAACGTGGTGCGATCATCCCCCTTGCGCGGAGTGAGGCTTCTCGACCCCGCACAACATGATCTACTCGACCACCATTCATGGTTACCGCAAAAAAAAAACCAGAGGTAAAAAAAAAAACGGTAACCTGGTTGCCGAGTTCACGAAGTGACTTGGTATGTTTTACAACGTCGTTGCCAAGCGACGAAAACCCAACCCCGATGGCAGAACACCGGGGGGGGGGGGATACTTCCTAAGTAAATTTTGATCAGAAGAGGTCATGCACAAGATTCGCTTGCCACCGTCGGACTAGAGGCGGGACTTACAGAAGACAAAAATCAACCATTGGACGAGCGCTGACTAGTCTATTGGTTCGACTTCGGCTTCTATTATAAGTTGTCGCGGGATTTCGGCTTCTATTGGACACTGTCTTTTTTACCCGACGGGAACCCAATTCCTATGATACTTGACACCAAACTGGATCAAGGGCACTCAAAACGTCGGTCGGGTAATACCTGTGCGTGTCCTGGATTGCCGCCGGTGTTCCCTCTTGCCTCCGTTCGCAATGGCACAACCGGGTGTCTCTGGGTTCGTTGATTCGATTAACACGCTCCTCTCTCTCTTTCTGCTCGCCGCCATTTTGACAGGGCATTGGGACGAAAACCCCACAGCTCAAGGTTGGCGAAGAGGTGTACGAAGGCAACGCCGAGCCGATCATCGGCACCACCATGGCCTTCACCACCCCAAAGCCGGGCGCGTCAGGTGTGCGTGCGCGTGTGTTTGGTTCTTCACACTTTTTTGTTGAGGCGCGGCTGCTGTGAGTCGTGCAAGAGTGTGGTAGAAGGAAATGGTGACTTCAATAGTCTAGCACCTAAATGGGTTGATTGCTTCGTGCGTCGTTCACACCTGGTGTACAAAACGTATCCCTGAATCGTATCCACGGACAGAGAATAAATTTGTTTTGGACTTTGTGAGGATCCCAAATCAAGCGAATGCTGGGACTGCCACGGTGTGCACGGGATGTGGGGCAGGGGGCGACATCAAGCAGCCCCGTGTGTAATGACGTCGGCCCTCGCGTTGTCCTGTGAAGTCGGGGAGGAGCTCGTCGGGGTTAAGCGGGAGGCATAGCGCGCCGGGGGGTGGGTGGGTGGGCACGGATGGACGAACGTGTTTTGCAACGAGCTTTGATAGCCTTGGTAATATCGACGAGACGACTTCGATTTCATCGGGAGGGTATTTCCTCTCCCATTCCGAAGCGTCATGTAGCACCTTACCGTCGCCAGCGGCCTTCCACCTAGCCACGCGTAGCATCGTACGCGCATCTTACCTCGTCTCCCTCCGAGGCGGTGTTTTCCGAAGCTTGGAGTCTTGTCATTGTCGTGGCCGCTCTTCTCCGCTGTTCGCGCCCCCCCCCCCTCCGTCTTTCTCCGAACGTTTCAGGTCGAGAGCCGTTAGAACTGGCTTGTTTCAGCAACATGAAGATGGCTTTCAGCCAGCCGCCCGGTGAGTCGTTTGCTCCGAGTATGTCTGGCGGTGGGGATCAACGGGCTCATGCCACGGCTGTTGCTGCTGTGCTGCTGTTTTTCGGACTTCTGCGTTGCGAGAGGTCTCGGTTTTCGGCTGCTGTGCGTTTGTGCTTAACTAACTTTTTCAGTCGGCAGGGGTGGTTGTTGTTTTTGTCACCTTTTCACCACAACAAAGGTGGAACTCGTTTTCAGTAGCGAGCGTTGCAGCGGTGCATCCAATCTATATCCTGTGTACGAACCTGCCGATAGGCTTATGTACGTCCTGTCCCGAAGAATGGTATGTTTCCTGCTTGGAAGCAACGCGACCCACACTGGTACCGTCGTGCTCATTCTGTACAGAATTTTCACCCATAATTTGTTCTGGCCACCCAGATGACATTTCTGCATCGAGTTTGTGCTCGGTCGTAGCACTAAACGAGTTTGACTTGTATCCCTTTCTGCACCCGCCACTTTTTGTTCTACCGCTCATCTCGAAGAAGTGGGTTATTGCGGGTGTATTGTGTGCCATGCTTTTCAAACTTTTGGTAATACCAAGACAGCCACTCGAAGAGGTGCCCTTGTTTCCAAGAATGTCCCAAAACTGCTCGCAACCCAATGGAGATTTGCTTTTGGGGTCGCTTTTCGCGAATTAAAGGAAAACAAATCCCCAGCGCCTTGCCATCTTTTTTATCTTGCACGTCCTTTGTGTCGGCCTACGACAGCCGAAACGCGTACCTTCCAGGCGCACCACTCATTGCAGCCCAAGTGGAGATGCTTCCCATGAAACCCAGAAATCAGATGCGGCATAACCTTCCGGTCTCTTGGTTCTGGCCTATACTTCTAAACTTTGTTTGCGCGGGAGCTGGCTTGAAAACCCTTCACCGGTGATGACAGCGCACCACTGCGCGTGTGGAAAAAATGAATCTTGACACCCGGGCTGGTTGGTTTTATGCTGGCTGTACATAGCGGCGTGGTATCGAAAGACGAGAAGGTTCTTGTTGGATTCATTTTTGGGCTCAGTGCAAGCAGTCGCCACTGTCTTTGACAGAGCAATTTTTCATTGATATTGTGGAAATCTCAGGCTCGATTACTTGCGAGGGGCATACCTATTTCGTGGGAGACCCGGCAGTAGTGGTTTTGTGCCGAGCGATAGAAGAACTGGGTAGAGGTCACAACGGGTTCAAAGTGTCGACGAGGACGGTGGTGACGAGCGCGAGTACCCGTGATATTCTGGTATGATTTAGAACGTGTTTGCGGCAAGCCGCACATCGGAGACATATGTACGTCCTATTGGGCGATCATGTGCACACCTTCTTGAAGACCCACCTATAGAATGGTTGTCTTGCGCAGAAGACCCACCTATTGTATGGTTGTCCTGCGTAGAACTGTCAAAATTGTTGCTGTGCGTGGCCCTACCGCCGACCCCATCCCCCCACCCCCTCGCGCGCGTGTCCTGGTTGGCTCCACCGATTAGCAGCTAGGCGACAAAGGAGGTCCAAGTCATGACATCTACAGTAGAGGCGAACCGGTTGCACCGATGTCGCTGCCGGTGTGATGATCCCTCGGCTGCGTCGGGCATTTATTTGTCCCGAGAGGTCGGCCTTTCTCCACAGGGGCACCTGTGCTTCGTTTTTCCTCCGCCGCGGGCAGGCGGCTGTGTTTGTCGCGGGTGCCAATCAGCAAGTTGCATGTATTGTGTACAATATTGTGTAGAATGTGGATGGTTTGGTTGGAATATGTGGGGGTGTTTTCGTGTCTTTTTTTTTTGTTTAGTCCGCATCGATGGCGCTTTGTTTGCCAGCCTGCCCGTGAAAACACGCCAGTCTTACGTCGGGCAAATGGGAGTGAGCTTCGTGTGCGTTGGGTGTCTGATGCGTCTCATGTTCGTACAGCAGTACAAGTTCTACAGTAGTACTCCCCTTGAGCATTTACCCTTCGAGGATTTTTTTGCGAAAAAGGTCTTGTTGTTGTCTTCACATTGAAAACCGTTCCGGTCTCCACTCAGTACCTTCTAATGTCCGTACTATAACAGTACAACGGACGTGGGCGCCTTCCGTGGTCACAAACCAACTGCCAGCCATTAACTTCGCAAAATATGCCCATGAACCTATTGTTATACCACCGAGCGGGCAAGACAGCGCTGATCACAGGGATGGCAACCCTGGGGGGACGTGTTCGTGGCTTGAAAGAAAGCTTGACGGACTCGGGCATTATCTTTGTAGAAACACGAGTGATTTACTGACTAGAAGACCAGTGGCCTACATGACCTTCTTTATCAACAGCAGTGTGTATTCTCGGCGCTGGGGCCACCCCTGGCGTATCTGGAGCTAATCACTTATTACGCTGTTTTGGATCTGGTTTTGCCACTCATTGTTGGAATATTATAGTTGGACGCATAGACTATAGACAGGGTCACAGGAACAAGGCCACACATCAAAGGAATTGATGCAGTTACACCTGTAGCAACTATTTCAACACGGCTGGGCCCTCTTATAGTGCAGGTTGAATAAGTAAGTGCAGGTGTCCGGTAGTGCCGTTAAAGTCTGCTGTGCTGTCGTCACAGATTTGAGCTGGTGCACTAACACCTATATATTCCTCTCGATTCTGAATAGTGCGAGGTAGGTGCCTGGTAAGTGCGGGTAAAATCTCTGGACACCCCCCTGTAGTATAGAGGGCTCAGCGGCTGTACTACAATAAAGCACAGCAGCAGCAGTGCATTTTCTCGATCCAGAGAAACTGGTCTGGAAGTACTTTCAAGAGTTTTAGGGCCCTCCAGAAGCCCGGATACCCGCCCCATCACGGCTGCTGGATGTACCTACGGGACAGGATATGGGGGCGGATCACTGGATTTCGTTCGCCCTTCCCATGAACGAACAACGAACGGCACTTCCGTCTTGGACATGTGTGCGCGCGCTTGGCGCGGTGCAGGAGAATTGAACTGTTGTTCACATCATTTTTGGCCAAAACGGAGAGCTGACGGGCTGTGATTTTCGGAGGCAGACATGGAAACCTTGTGTTGGGTAAACCGGGTAGGCCGAAGCTTGTAGGTTTGTGGAGAAAGGTAGCTCGGCCAGTGAGGGCCGAGATGAGAAAGTCTTGTATTAGAGGGAAGAGGGAACAGCAGAGAACACTAGAGAGCGAGGAACCGAAGAGTGCGTCACCACCCCATATTCAACCACATTTACTATGCTACGAGTACATCTAACAGCCCCCCTGCTCGTATGCATCGTAATGAAACGGCAAGTCAATATAATTCCATTTACTACCCAAACGTAGATCCTACTCCTCCATGACACACAAATAACCAAGAAGAACTCGATTATGCAAATGTTCCTGAATCCACAACGTCTTGTCTCATCGCCTTCATTCCTTCTCTGCAAAACGCTCTTCTTCTGGTCCATCCTTCCTCAGCACTTCGCCGCAACGACACCCGCAAAGTGCTCATGTCCCCCGCACAACTCAAAGCATTAAACAATCCATTGAACCAAACCTATCTGTTAGACTCCTCCTCGTTCACGTTCCAAAACACGGATTAATTCGTAGAAATTCGCCTTCGTTGTGTTTCGATTACATCCATCCATCCGTCTTACAAGTCCTACCAAGACAACACAAATTTCGTAAATGTATTATGTTTCATGTTTCGCGGATGCCCACTTCGCAGGTAAAACGCAGCTGGGCGTGGTGTGAATCCTCTACTTTCACTTTTCCGATCAAACAACATCCGTCTCCAAACATAAACATTCATTCGTTCAGCGTGAAAATCATTTGCGCAGAAAATACGCGAGTATTATTCCTATTGGTTCTCTCTAGAAACTGTATCTAGCTACAACAGGTGAGTTCAGAAAGAACAACGTGCCCCCCTGCTCTTGGAGATCCGCCCCCCTAGTTTAGAAGGGGTTGGAGACAGAACCACATACCAAAGGAACAATCTTCAATATTCATCCAGTCGAGACCCAAGAAAAACAATCCTCCTGCAAATAAATCCCGACGAAACACCAAAACCAAATCAAATCCAATGCCAAAATGACGTTCGCAAATAAATCCCAATGCTAGAAACCAATCCAATACCAAGGCCAAAATCCAATTCAACCAATAACCAATCCAAAACTAAAACAATAACATTCGAAACCCCTACATTTGCCGGCGCATCAAGTTCCAGCGCTGAACCCATTGCCCAAGCCATTGTTTCTCCCCCCCCCAGCGGATATTTCGCACGCCTTCGCCGCGGTCGCCCTCCGTCTTTCATCTTTTCCAGCTGGCCGCGACTCGAGCTTGGATGTTTGCGTCCGCCTGTAGTGGGGGAAGAACAATTGTCGCTCCCGGAGGATTGACTCGGCGGTGGTGCAGGGCAGGTCGCGCGTTTGGAGGGGAAGATGGCGGCAGATTAGTTCGGAATCCGAACAAACCAGCTCTCTCTACTGATGAGAATCACATACTACCAACATTCCCCCCGGTTCTGCACAGAAGTGACTGCTGCAGAAATGACAACAAACGAGGCACACTTTCAAGTCGTCGGACCCTACTTGTGGAATGGTTTGTCTAAAAGTACCGATCACTGCGACTTTGCCACTCAATAAAATTATAATAATAGCTGAATATCATCCTGAAACGGAGATTGATTAGTCCTCTGTTACAAAATATTATTACAGCCGCTGCTCCTGTTCTAACAATAGGGTAATCAATCCTAAGTCAAAAAAACCTTGTCAACTTGGAACCGCAATCTATCTCACAACAAACAGCAATCTCAAGACAACCTATAACAATATTCGGAAATAAATCAATATTTGTTTCGTCAATATTGTGGATGTTTAATCTGCAACACGGTGGAGGTACCAATCAATATTGCACGTCGCTGAGACTTCACACGTCTGTCTCTGGTACTCGCTGACACAACCAAGACATGAAAAGTTTTTGATCAGGTTAAACCTGCTACCCAAAGAGAGTCCAGATAAAACGTTGATCACGCATTTATTTTTGATCAGGCTAGACCTGCTGCTCAATCAAAGAGGAGCTACCAATAAGAGCCCAGATGAAACGTTGATCACGCTGTTTGTTGTTGCCGGCGAGAGAAAGTTGGTCTCAGCACGGCTGTCAGGAAGACAAAGCACACAACCTCGCCAAGCGCTGCTGTATGTAGGTCTTGTGGGTGCTGCTGCTGTGCAGGCGCTCGCCGCTGGTGGCCTCTTCGTCTGGTTGGATGTCGTCAGCCGCGCATGCGGCTGCCCATCGGTGCTACCCAACCCATCCTCGACAAAGTCGTTAATGCTAGCGTGTTGGGTAAACCGGGTAGGCCGAAGCTTGTAGGTTTGTGGAGAAAGGCAGCTCGGCCAGTGAGGGCCGAGATGAGAAAGTCTTGTATTAGAGGGAAGAGGGAACAGCAGAGAACACTAGAGAGCGAGGAACCGAAGAGTGCGTCACCACCCCATATTCAACCACATTTATTTACTATGCTACGAGTATATCTAACACCTTGGTTCTAACATGACAGGCGTATTATTGTGTATCCTCCTCCCTGTGACGATCTTTTCATCGTGTGTGACGATGAAACCACAGCAGTGCCGCAGGGATGGATGAAGAAGGGACCAAAAGAACACTCTCTTCCTCGGTGCATCTGCGTGACCCCATGAGGTGTTGGTTGTCGTTGTGTGATGTTGTCTTCTTCGCGATCTCTCTAGTTGCATTCAATTTTGGGGCTCAGAGTCTGCTCTGACATCCGCCCGCCCAGCTGACGCAGACCCCTTCCGAGGTTACATACAGGCAACTCGCCCACAACGTCACACACCCCTTGGGAGCGAGAAAACCAAAGTGGGGGCTCGGGCGAAGGATTTTGATTCTTTCTCGACTGCTTTTCCAAAGCGTGACAATTGTGTAACGACCAAGCAGCAGGTTAGGTATGACGTTGCACTTTTGGAGGCTTGCTCTTGGCTCCTGACCGGACGACAACAAGAGCAGCAGCGCAGATCTCCGGGTGTGGGATCAACAAACATGTCGCACTTTGACGCCGTCGTCCACATCCCGGCTCCATCCATTGCGTACATCCATCCGTCGTTCGTTGCACCTTGATATACGTACATCATTGACACATATTGAAGCTGTCTGGGTGTCATCATTTCGTTGGTCGTTATGCGCAGGCCAAGTTGAAGTAGGGGGCGAATAGACCGATGATGTCCGTGAGGCGCGCGACTAGCTACCCCAACCACCATTAATCGGTCGTTCGAACGAACCGTCAATTACGTCAGGGAGAGCCGGACAGGTATACTGGTTTTTTAACGGATAATGCAGGCGTAGAGAGCGAGTTTTTTTCCTAGCGGCGAAAGAGCAGTTCATCCAGTATTGTTGATGGCAAAGAGACGAACTTCCATCATACACACACTGCGAGCAGAGTCTGATGGCGCCGCGACAAGTCTTCCCGTACCATGAGTGCGGAGTCCTCCGCACGCCGCGGCAGTTGCTGGCAGAGTCGCAGCAGCAGCAGCGGAAGGAGCTCGAGTCGCAACAGCAGGAGCAGCATCGTCAGGGAGAGCAATGGGCCGACATTGATAAGCCATCGCCCTTTACCCCGACGTTTGATGAGTCAGGAAGCAGCGGAGGCGAGGCGGCCTGCGTGCAGCAACCGCACTGCAGCGACCTGCGGGACGCGCTGAACGATGACGACGACGACGACGACGACGACGAGAGCTTGGACTTGGGGGCGGTCTGGGCGAGCCGCGAGTTCGTGCCCAAGCCCGGGGTGGAGATTTTCGTCGGGGGCCTCACGCGCAGCACGCGGCGCGACATGCTGCGGGATTGGTTTCAGCATGCCGGGGAAGTGACCGAAGTGCGCATCGCGCGCGACAAGAGGCGTAGGAGGTGCCGCGGGTACGGCTACGTGCGCTTCGCCACGAGCGAGCAGGCAAACCGGGCCATCGACACCATGCACCGCTTCGAGTTCAAGCACGGCAGGTTCCTCGGCGTCTTGCCCTCTGATGAAAATCGCACGCTGTTTGTGGGAGGGCTCCAGGAGGAATGGAGCTGTGCCTACATATGCCAGCTTCTCAAAGAAAAAATGGTGAGATTGTTGATTCAGTTGGGCCCCTTTGGGGCTGTCCAGGTACGCCGCGTTCGGATGTGCACACCGCGCAGTATCGGCGAGGGCCGGAGGTGGCGCCCGTAGGAGTGGGCGTTAGGGCGCTTGCTTTCTGGAAAGCACGTGAGTATCGCGCCGTCAACAATGGCACCGTCAACAAGATGTTTTCGTTCCTACAGCGGCAGTTTTCCTTGTTCCAAGCGATTGTACAGTAGTCATCCCGTTTTGCACCAACTCCTCTCTCTCTCTTTCTCTCTCTCAAGTCTTACGCGATGCGTCGGCGGTTCACCGCTTCTTCTCCCCAGCAAGATGTTCACAACCCGCCCCGCTAACCACCACGCATGGGTTGCAACGTACGCATTCCAGCAACGAAATTTTTCATCTTCGAACAAACACTTTCCGCCAAGCAGACTGAAACATTTCGAGCCAGTTTTGGCCGTCAAACTGCCACCTGTTCTGCCCGCTGCCCATCCGCGGCTAAGTTTTGGTGGTACACGCCGTGCGATGCGATGAAAAAACCTGCTGTATTGGTCTGGACCATGAAGATCATCCGTGCTCACTCATTTCATCTTGCAGTGAAAGGTGTACGGGTCGATGCGCTGTGCGTCTATGATGTGTTTTTTTGTTGGTGTGCATGCACACGTGCGCATGATGTGCCTCAAAATGTGGTACAAGTATTCATGTACTTAGGGTTCAGCTGCTGTCGAACGTCTTGCCGTCGTGTGTTGTGGTTGCTGTTGTTGCTGAATGCTCAACACCCGTCCCAGTCTCTGCTCAGGACCCTCCAAAACATCCACACCGGTTCCACCTGAGGCAGATGCCTTCCGTGGTGCCAGGCCATCTAGACTGCATTGTCCGAATAGTTACCATGTAGACGCTCGCGTGGTGATTGGGCCCGCACAGCTGTTGACTTTACTTTTTCAAGTACATGCAAAAATATCGAGAGGAATGACCGCCGCAGCACAACGCCCATAGAGCCACCACAGAGCCACACGTCGCTGCTGGCTACAAGATATTGGGCGTATGTTCATGGTTTCAAAATGTTGGAAATAAATCTTAATCTTCAAATGTTGTCAAACATTTGTGCGCGAATATTTGATCGTGTGGTTTTCTCGGAATGCATCAGAAGTGCGGCGGGAATCGTAGTGTATTGCCGACAAACGATTTGTGACAGACAATCCCCAAATGTGTCATGGAAACTGAATGTAACGAGCTCGCAAAGGGCTCCCCACAACCCTTGATTCACTGAGCTGATACTGTGCCCGCCAATATGTGGTGATAGCGCTCCGGGCGTGCGAGAAAATATGTTCACGGTGTCAAAAAGAGGCCAAAACGTGCGTCAGCGCTTCCCAACGGCAAAAAGTCGGCCGCTTGAGAGGACACGTAAGTACAAATCTTCCTGTCCAGCTCTCGCCCGTTAGACCATCGATGCATGTTTTGTGTTCTTGGGTATTTTATCGATCGACGACTCTCATCCGGTTGCGCGTGAGTTGGCAGTGGCCGTGCTCAGTCGGCAGGGAGGCACATCGTTGTGCGCGCAAAGTTGTGGACACAAAGTTTGTTTCGGTCTATTTTTTCACTTGAATATAGAGGGCTTGTTAGTCCGTCCCATTGTGAAGACTTTTTCAACACATCGAGTTCGCAGCGACGCGCCTCCCTGCCTGTTGAGTACGTCCACTGCTGAACCACGCACACCCGGATGAGAGCCGTTGGTGGAGAAGACACCCAAGAAGACAAAACATAAATCAATGTCTAGAGGACGAGAGCTCGATAGTGTTGTGCTAACATCTCCTTTCAAGCAGACGGGGAAGCCCACCAAACCACCCCTGTCTGTTTTGATGTGTCCCGCTTGTCGAGCTCCCGTCATGTATCAGCCGGCAAAAAGTTGACGCGGTGACTCTAGGGTTGTCCGGATCCCTCTATGAGCTTGCTACGTTGAGTGTGCGCCGCGCAGTGGTTGGTGTTTAGGACGGAAGGGCCGGTCCGCTACTAGTCTCGCCGCTCTTGGTAAAACATTTTCGCGACCTGCCCCATTTCAAACCAGTACCTAACACATATCATCTGCACCTTCCCAACATAACATATATGAGACACACAAGACAACCACCAAACTGTCTTGTTGAGCCTGTTACCCGCAGGGGAGATGTCCCTATATGCTGTCTGCGAAATCGTAGACATACAGGTACTTTTCTGACGCTATGAATCCATTGCTAATCTGTCTCAGACTCTTTTCTATGATGGAGATGGGCTTCGTGGTGTCATATTAAGAAAAAAAAAGAAAAAAAAATGTTTTGTCAAACATTTCGTCAAACGAGCGACTTTTGCCACATTAAAAATTTTTGGGGTCATTTTGCCGAAGATTTTCTCCCATAAAAAGTGAATCAAAATCTTTATCCGCAAATCTTTGAAAATTACGACATTTTCGCAAAGATTTTGACGACCGTAAACATTGGTCTAATGTTGAAATTCATGGCGCCCATGGATCCCGCTCGGCACGTAATGTGAAATATATAACAATGCACAACCGGCGGTGCAAACGAAGGGGAGAGAAAGGAAGGAAACGGATTGTTCTTGTCTGTCGAACTGCTGCAAGCTATATATATGCATACGAGATAATAAAAAACGTACAACGTACAAGGGTACTATATATACTAAGGTACAGGTCCAAAACTCGGCTGCAAAGGTACAGGGGGATAATGAGCCGCGGGTGACGACTCAATGCCTTGGAGTAATCTGTGTGCGATGCTGTGCAAGGCTGCTTCCGGCAGTAACGCAGCAGCAACCCAGAACTATTCTGCTGTAACGAGTCGCGCGTTCGTTACTTGCAGATTTGCAAATTGTGTTCGAACGGATCTTGCGAGACTGCTGCATCCGCTCCCGGACTTTGAACTTTAAAACACATCCGTTTCGACTGCTGTGGAATTATCTCGAACGGGTAGATAAAGTATTTCTGTGAGATGATGAATACTTTCTCGAAGAAAAGTACCGCATATCAACGGCGGAGGAACACACACAACAACATGCTCGCCTCTGCTACAGCAGTGTTCCGCCAACCGCCGAACGATCGGCACGTAAAAGTACTGACACAGACACAAATATATCGGACGCGTGTTTTTCTCATCCTGCTGGGGATGAAAAGAAAAAGTGTCACACTTCGCGCTCCGCGGCTGATTGTAAGGAGGAGTATGTAATTGCGATAGTTTTTGGTTCGGTGTGATTGGCTGGGTTCTTCGAGACCATCAACGTCAACTGCTGTTTCTTGTCGAGCTTTGTAACGTCACACCCGATCGATACATGGCAAGCCAGCTGTTATTGGCGGGCGGTTGTGGTGTTGAGATTGTCACGTCAGCTGCTCAGCTGTCTCCTTCCTGCTCTGAACAATCCCAACATTAGGGGCCACCGCACATGATGCGCTGTACCACCAGTTATGTTTTCCCCATCTTGCATCACCCTTGAGGTGGCACTGCTGTGCTCTCATGAGCCAGCCCTCTTCCATTTTGCCAGCCGTCTTCAAGTTGGGGAGGCAGCTCCATCGATGGTAGATTCACGGCGGGTCCTCGAACCTTTTTTTTTTTGTAGGCAAATGCCAGTAGTTCTCGCATGAATCCATCGTTATTTTGTATCTCTACTTCAGGCTTACGGTGGGGAGCACCGGCCGCGGCCTCTGGGGGTTGCTGAGCCTCGATTCGGCACGTATTGTTGAGCAGAGTCACGACGTGAGAACTACACTACGTGCAGCCCTCGTGTGTGTCCTTCTATCCGAGTGTTTCGGCGCCACATTATCTTGAAACAGGCACACCCGCCCGCCGCGTCTCGTTCATACCCGGGTCGCTTATTTATGTCACGGTCCTGGGAATCAAATAACTCAAGTTCCCTCTCCAAAACGACTCCACCGTTCGTGGCTTCCATGTGTTGGTCAAATGTCCAACTTGTTCTTCGGAGGTGTCCGCTTGAACTTCGAAAAGGCCAAAGCCATCCCTCCCGATACCCCGTTCTCCCGCCTTCCCTCGATCACGCACCGACAGACATGATCTCAATAAACGCGCACTACTTTTCCCCCAAACATGTACCTGCAATCACTGAATGAAGAGACTTTTACTTTGTTTTCCCCGGACGTTTCAAACCTCCAGCGTTTACCGTATATGCCTCACTCGAGATTTTTTCTTGTTCGTGCGCCCCCCCTCGCATATATATTTTGGCTCCGTACCCCGGGAAATTCGGCGACGACGACGACAAAAAAAAAAAAAAGCCTGGCTTAAGGAAAGTGGAGCCCATTCCCGACCGGGAGGACAGGTTCAAGATCCGCACCTTCTGCTTCCTGGAGTTCGCTTCCCACGCCGAGGCCGCCGTGATTTTCAACCGGCACCAGACCAGCCCCCGGCCGCCGCAGCCGTCACCTCACCAACAGGCGGCGGCTGCGGCCTCTTCGACGCCGCAAGGCGCGACGACTGTGCTCCCGCTCCCGCCACCTTCGGCAACGTCGGCCGCCGGGGGAGGCGCGGGCTTGCCTTACGAGCGTGATACCAGGGCGCAGAGCAGCAGCAGCACCACCTGCACCAGCGCCGGTGACAACGCCGGCGATGGCGACGGCGAAGAAACGGGGACAGGGGCGGGGGTACCGCTGGTTGTCGGCGGGGCCACCCTGAAAGTCGACTGGGCGGACCCCCTGCGGTACCACATCCACCTGAACGGGGGCATCAAGGGACCGTCGGCTCCTCCGGAGTTCGGCGTGCCGAACGGTCGTCCCGCCTCACGCGGCGCCGGCTGCAAGGGGGTTTGTGGGAACGAAGGAGGAGGAGGCTTCCGGAGCGCGGTAGGTTTCGGCGGCGGCGGAGGCGGCGGCGGCTTCCCGGCCTGGCAGCAGCAAGAGCAGCAGCAGGGCCTGATGAGGCGATCGTCGCCACCCCCGTTGATCGACCCCAGGCGGCAGGCCGGGGACCACTCGCGCGCCGTGCACGCTCTGGAGCACCAGCAGCTTCTGCAGCAGCGGCACCAGCACCAGCGGCGGCAACAGCAGCACCGGCACCAGCAGCAGCCCTATCATCGCCACCACCTGCCCGATTCCCAACAACGGAGCGCTACGGCACCGCGGGTAAGTGGGGAAAACCGACGTGTGGCAGACGATGTGTGCGACGTGCGCTTGGTGCTTTTTTGCGGTGTTTTGTGTGTGTTGCTTTCGGCGAGCCCATGTTCCTGGCTCGTGCTTGTTCCGAAGACAGCAGGAGTGGACCCGCAGTTCGGTGGCGTGTTTGGTGGGCTTGGTAAAGCCGTGAGAAAGTTGCCCTCAGACTCGGACATGTTCTTTGTTTTTCCCGCCGAAGTATCGTGTTTCTTGTTGATTTTTTTTTTTTTTTCCTGTGTAGCGTCGAGCCCCTCCCTGCCGTTCATGCGTTCGTTGTGCCCCGTCCTCCAGATTATGGCTCTGGACGGGTCTTCAGATCGCGTCGCTCACCACCTGTCACGCAGCGGGTCCTCGCCCGCGGCAACGCGGGAGCGCGGCTACACCATCGCGGCGGGGCTTACATCCACTCGGAGGTCCTTCTGCGATGACGTGATTGGCGGCAGCAGCGGCGACGGTGGCGCGGGTTCCCTGTCCCAGCAGCACCAGTTCGGCGGCGACGGCGACATGGAAAGGCCGCGATCGGTCTCGTCGAGCGGCGTACCGCTCCCCCGCCACCATCGCGCGTCCCACTACACCCCGGGCCACGCCGGCTTTCTCCGCGACGCGGCGGCGGCGGTGGCCGCCGAACAGCGGGACTACGGTGGCCGCCCGAGCGCGCCCGGGGGTCCCGTAGAGTTACAGGATCAATACCCCCACCGCAAGTCTCGGCCGCAGCACCCTTCGGACATGGTCGGACGAATAGGAGGCCAGGAGAGTTCCATGAGGCAGCAGCTTCAGGACCACGACCATTATCACGGCAGCGGCAGCGGGCATGTTCGGCCGTATAGCGCGGGCGCCGGTGGCGGCGGCGGCAACTACGGCATCGTCCGCCGCGATATGCCGACGAGGAGTGCCTCTTGCCGCCCGTACAGCGAGCACCAGCACCCCGCAGCGGCATTGCCGCCATCGTCTTGGGATTGCCTAGGGTCTGGGGAAGGGGTCGCCGCCGGCACAGGTGATGGCGAGGCCTACTTGGATTGGTCTGGCTCCACGGTGCCCCCGCCTTCCGGGCGGAGAGAGCTTCGTAGGTGGTCCCTCCAGCAGCAGCAGCAAGGGCAGCAAAGGCAGCAGCAGCGTTGGGAGCAACAAGACGCCCTTGACCGCGCGACCGGTGCTTTTGCGACAGCAGCCTGGCCAAAGGTGTGTTGGCGTTAATGAGACCTCTGTCCGCTACCCTCTTCATTGTGTGTGTGTGTGATATTTGTTTCAAGGTATTTGTTATTTTGCCTTTTTTTTTGTTGTTTGTGTGTTTCAAGTTCTCTCGCAAGCTGCACATCAATCGGCCGCGGGAGTTTCCGGGCTGGCTTTTTTTTGTGGCGTCCCTTTGGCAGTGCCGGCAAGTGCGATGACCGCCTTCCTTCAAGATAACCGGCAATGGTTGCCATGTGGCCCCGTTCTTTATGATTCGGGGACTCTCCTGCACACGTTTGGACTGACTGCTGTTAACCGCGAACAGCAGCACCACGACTCTCAAGCATTACATGAAGCCATTTTTGCTTGTTTTCGAGTGTCTCGGTTTTTTGGGATGTGGACCCTCTTTTGGATATCTAGTTGGATATTGAATTTTGTGGTACCGAGCATTGACCGGGACAGTTTTTTCCTGGTATGACAACAACGGCGACAGCAGTATGACTTGTCCGAAACACTCATATGCCGCAGTGGTCGCCGCTCTGCCCAAAGAAAACGAGACGACCACCTTGGGAATCAGCTCTCCCCCCCGTACACCAGCGTGGGTGTTTTATTTCTCCGTCCGCCTTCTAAGCTTCCCGCCGTGGTCCCACTCCCAACGCCCCGTTTCTGCGTCTTTGCTCGGCAACTTGAAACCCTTCAGGACCCGGCACGCCTTCCCCAGGAAGGTTGGGTCGAAGACAACGACATCGGCACCAGAAACAACCATGACGCCGCCGCTGGGTTCTCCGCTTGGGATCCGGGGTTCGGGGACGAGCAGCTGGGGCGGCGGCTGCAGCAGTCGCCGCCGGCACGGTTCCGGAACGGCGTGGCGGCGGTGGCGGCCTCCACCACGGCCCTTGACACGCACCCTCGCCGCCACTCCGTCACGGAAGGGTTGGTCGGCAATAAGACCATCCGGGCGGAGGTGGCCGGTTGTGGCGGGGTTGGCAGCGGTGGCCGGGCTCGAGCGGTGGTGGGAGGAGCGTTCCCAACCGACAAGGATAACGGTGGCAGCTGTCCGCCCGGGTTCTCGGCCGGGTTGACCCGCGGCTACAGCAACGGTAGCAATGGGCGTCGCTTGAGCGAAACCGGCAACGACATGTCGCAACAGCCCCAGGGAGAAGAGAGAGGCGTGGAGGTTGACTTTGGAAGTCTTTCCATGTCCGCCCACCCTCGCGGTGGCCGCGCTTGGGGCGGCGCGTCGTCGCTCATGCCTGAAGGCGGCACCGCTCCCACCGACGATGATATCGTCGGAGGCCTCTGGGAGGGCATCGGGGCAGGAGGACTGGACAGCCAGGAGCGGTCATTATCGTGGCCGAACCCCGCTTTTTTCTCCCGGTTCGGGAGGTCGCAGCCCGTGGGGTACGTAAAAACCCCACGGAGCGATGATTTGGGGGGGGGGGGGGAGGGGGTCGTGGCTGGGCTTGGCTAAGCGTCACATATTTTCGTCCCATGTTTCTTCCCTCAGCTGCCCCCTCCTGAACGGGAGTGTGGTTGCTTATTTTTTGTCCTATTGATGCAGGGGTGGATGAACTGATTGGCCTTCGTGTTTTGTTTTTCTTGCCGACGTCGGTGCGTGCTCGACTCCGGTTCCACCTGTTGAAAAGTGGCTTGTGATTTTTAACCCCTAGAGGAGGGGGGGGGGGGAGGGGGGGCAATGCATGCCAGTATAGGTTAATGTGGAGGCGGGACGCCGCGAATGGAGAGACGGGACCGTGGCGAGGTGGAGAATAGTAGCACCCCGGGGACGAGTGGGCAGATCAAGATATTTCAGGTTGCTTTTCGAGTGGAGACGTTGGGTGGAACAGGGGGCGGAAAGGAGCAAAAAGCGGGCAACGCCCGTGTGTTTCAGCATTCTCTGGGACGCCTAGACACCACCCTCTTCCGTGCCAAATGCATGACATGGGTGCTGTTTGGCGATAATTTCTCAAGTATTGTGTTCGGTATGTTTTTGCTTTCCTTGACTGGGGCGTCCATTCTCCCATCAGGTCTGGGCTCGTTGCGGCTAGCGTAAATGGTAACCGATTCCCGACACTGTGTATTTAGAGTGGGCAGCTTTCGAACACAGGGTCGAAAGAGTTGCAAGCCTAAGGGGAGTCGTTTGGGTGGGTCTGCTCTGCATTCCAGAGCAGGCTTAGTGCTGTGTTGTTCGTGTGGTGAAGTATCCCCCGCAAAGTCTGCAGAGCGAAGCAGATGCGCTCGCGCCACCGATGCTAAATCGGTCTCGTATGTAGCGCACGTCTGCTCCTGGAAGACCAAGGTTTTCCCAATCCCGAGGGGGCTGAGGTTGTCCAGCAGTCGACCCTAGAGTTGCCCGCAAGGGATCAGATATGGAAGGAGTTATCCCGCGACGAGGGGGCTCAAATCTAGCACGAACGGGGCCGAATCGAGCGCGAGAGGTTTCGCTTGCGCGAGGTTTCGCTTGAGCGTGGTTTCGCTTGCGCGAGGTTTCGCTTGCGCGTGGTTTCGCTTGCGCGAGGTTTCGCTTGCGCGTGGTTTCGCTTGCGCGAGGTTTCGCTTGCGCGAGGTTTCGCTTGCGCGATGAGTAAAAAAGGCTCTGGGCGAAAACAGAAGTTCGTTTGGGCGCGTTGGATACGCGAATTGCTTGCTTAAGCGCCAGCAGCGGGAGTTGCGTAGAAGGTAGGCCAGCAAGACCTGGCAGCTTTACAGCCGCCCGCCATATCTTATTTTTTTTACCACAGTATTTTTTGTAGTGGAGGTTCACGCCGCGGTCGAGAGGATCGTTTTTTCGATTGCCCCGCTGGAATACCGAAGTGTATATCTCGTTTATGCCTTTTTTTCGGTGCATTTGTTGCTGCTCATTTTGCCTTCTTTTCTCGCTGCAAAGGGTAGAAGGGGGCTGATCAGGGGGAATAGGCTACGCGGTGAAGTGGGTCTGTACCTCTTCGCTTGCTCTTGCTCAGGAACGGGGCGTCAACCCCGGTGCGGGGACAAGCGCCACAATTGAGCCCGTTTATTCTTTGGGTTTCTCGGACGAAGGTGTCCGCTGGTTTTCGGGGGTCCGGAGTAATGCCTCGCCGAGTTGCTTTTTCGTAGTACCCCTCCTTGCCGGGCGGGTTATTTTTATCGAGCGTGCTTCGCACGCTGGCGGCTGTGAACTAACAACTCGTTGGGTGTTATGACGCTTTGTCCGTTGTGACGGCGAAGATCTTTGTGGACGAAGAAAAGTCCCAACCAGGGTACAGTCAGTCTCGTTTTTTGGTCGGTCGTGCTTCGGTCGGTCAAGGTTTATTAGCGTTCGTTCGCGGGCGCGTTTTGTCGAGGAAGGGCAGTGGGCATTCTTTGGTAGTTACTAAACGGGGGGCAGCCGCTGCGGTAGCGACGGAGTTTGCGCGTTAGTATTTTCTCAATGTTGGTATTGTTTCGGATAGCGGCGCAGCAGCACGTAGCGCATCGCAAGGCTTCCGGCCGGCGTCACGTCGCCGTGGTGACGCCATCGGTGGCCATGAGCGGCCCACCGCTTTTCCGCAGAAGGCTTGCTGTCGCTGCACGCCGAGCCTCGGGGGGCATCCTCTGTATTTTCACCAGCGCGCGAAGCGCACGATACGGTGGTGCGCGGTCTTGTTCGTGTAGGCCTACGAAAGTTGAAGCGCACACACCGAGCGGAGTGCTTTACCGGCCTGTAGGAAAGGGGGGGGGGGGGGGGGGGGGGGCATCCTTTTGTTTTGTCGGCCTTAGCGGGGAAACCTTTGACCCCCCCTCCTCCGGGGGACGGAACTTTTGGAAGGGGGGGGGGGGGGGGGGG